TAACGTTACGTTACGTAAGGTAAGTAACGTATTATAGTAGTCGTCGTCGTACGGTGGTACGTTAGTTTAGTTACGTACGTACTACTACTACTACTCTCTCTCTCTCTCTCTCTCTCTCTCTCTCTCTCTCTCTCTCTCTCTCTCTCAGTATAGAATGCATTGACATGAGGTTAGAGAGGGAAAGGGATTTTTAAGGCATGGGTTTGGAGTCATTTCAAAAGTTGTTTCATTAATTTTGGTTTTATTATATATTTCTAAGCACTTGCATCCTATTTTTATTTTATGTATTTCTTGGAGCATCTTCATTTACTCATGTCTATTTTTCTTATCTGAACATAGCCGGCAAAGGTGAAAATGGACCTACCCCTTCCCCTTCAAGTAACAATATCAGATGCTATAAATGTAAAGAGATGGGTCACAGAGCGCTGTTCTGCCCGGAAAATAACAGAGATGGTGTTAACCATAGCCCAAATCCCCCACTCTCTACCCTTGCTGAAAAAAAATCCAAAGAGATTGATGGAAAAGGGACAAGCAAGTGGAAGCATGTTGTGGAGACTGCAATGTCCAAGCAGCCTAAGGCTTCTGAAAACAGTCGATTGCCCTCCCGATCTCAGGAGTTGTCTAACCCTAGCAATGAAGGTAACAATAAAGATGCACGATCAAATTCCAAGCCTGTAAATATAAGTGGGAGGACCAACTTTATCTCTCCATCAGAAGGCACAAGAGATACCCAAGGAATTTTATCCTCTGTTCCTGATCATACAAAACAAAATGTTCCACACTACATGGATATTCCAGGAACTGTTCCAAGAGTAACTGCCATTCCTCATGGAAAGAGTGATGGTGGTCAGCTTTCTGGACTGACAATTTTGGGCAAGATCTTGGCAATACCAGAGCATGATTACATATGGCAGTATGATTCCCTATCCCTCTTTTATGGTTTATGGTTTCAAATGGTTGTCTTTTAAATTTTCTTTTATTAGCTCTAGCTATTGGCCTTTGAAGGGTAGGTATACCATAATCCAATGGAGTTTGGTATATGCCTCCAAAGGACATTGGACATTTATTTTGGACAGTGGAGATTAACTATAGTGGGGTGCACACTCGCATTCACCTGGCTACAATTATTGTCCAATTTATCATTGCCAACAGATGGTGGATACCCCATTGGTGTACATCCATAGACCTCAACCTCTCCCATCCTAAGTGGGCTTTGTTTGTTTACTGTGTTTTAGTCTACTTTCCCTTCTTTTTTGTGGCTCCTTCTTTCCCTTACATTTTCCTATCTTTTGCATCTTTTAATGTTTTACTTGTTAAATAAAATAAGTTGTGTGCTCAACTCATTCTTATCATAGATGCTGAGGTAGAGCAATATCAATTGCAGGGGTCGTTTTGAGGTAGAGAGAGGTGGGAGATTTTCTACTTCCTATGATGGGATTCAAGCTCATGTATCCTCATGTGCATCACCTAAAGTTCTTGAAACAGTCGACCAGCTTCCTCTAAGATTCAAGTTAGAGGAAGTGCCTCGTATGAGCTCATGGCCGGCGCAATTTGAGGAAATCCATCCAACGGATGATACCATTGCATTATACTTCTTTGCCAAAGATGTTGAAAGGTTTGATTGTGTTTGTTCACATCATGTAAGTTTATGAAAAAGTATACGTTAATCCACTTTAGTACTCCAAAGAGGCATCCATTGTCCATCTTAAGAGATTAACTTGCTCTGGATAATCTCCAGCTGCCTGGAGAGAATGGTCTTGCACACTGGAGTATGGTGTACTATATGCACCATTGGACTATAGTATACTGACCCAAAGTTCTTATCCTTTGCTTTTCTAGTATTGCAGCTTTATAGTATTTGACATGTTTATTTTCTGTGGACCGTGCTGCAGCTATGAAAAGCATTACTTGAAGTTGTTGGAGACAATGATAAAGAATGATTTTGCTCTCAGAGGAAACATAAAAGGAGTCGAGCTCTTAATATTCACATCTAATCACTTGATCGAGAAATCCCAGCGTAAGAATTAGCTATTGGAACAAAAATATGTTGGTTGACTTAGTTCACATCTTAGACAGAGAATTTGAGGCACCCAAATTTCACCTAAAACAACCAGGAAACTCTGCCATAAATTGAAGTCTATTATTGATATTTGTTGAAAACTTGGCACCTTTTTTCAAAATATGGTCTTGCATATAGGTAATATTTTCAAATATTGGCTGTGTCCTAGTCTTTGTTGAAATTTCCTAAATATCCATTGTATTTTGTGAAATTTAAAAAATGTCTCGAGTAGTTCATATTTTATGCTCATATCCCACTTATAGAGAGCGCATCTTGTGTTTTAGTTATTGTTTTTTTGTGTGTGTCGGATTAAGCTCAAATTTTTGGGTGTCCATACTTCTCACCATCACACACCTATAAGAAATACAAAAGAAATTTTTTTAAAGACACAAAATAACCAAAATGCCCCTGAAACTTGCAACTGTATTTTGGTTTTCTGATTGTACAAAATTATTATTTTTATATATTTTTTTACATGTGCAAGATGGTGAGAAGTGTGGACATCCAAAATTTGAACTCAATCCAATGGATAGAAAAAAAAACAATAAAATTAAAATGCAAAGTGCACTTTAAAAAAGTGTGACATGAACATAAAATATAACATATTGAGGACATGTTTTATATTTTGAAAGTAAAAAGGATATTTATGAAAGGAACCCTTTATAAGAAAGAGAAATAACTTCTGAGTAATTGCCATATTTTTGGCCATATTTCCATCTTATACTTCTTTAGTCTTAGAAAGAGGTTTTCTGCTTGCAGGTTGGAACAGATTATATTTCTTGTGGGGTGTATTTAGAGAGAGGAAGGCAACTTGCTCGGAATCCTTGGATAGTTCGCAACGGATACTGGCAGAAACAGATAATTCAAAAGTAATTAGTTCTGACAACAAGGCCTCATTCCAAGTTTTGCCATCTACACTTGCATCTGATTCTGAAGTTCCTCTCTCTCAAAGGTCGAGTTCTTGTGGACAAATGGACAGTGAACGTGTTTCTATGGGTATTCCATCGTCACCTCAGCAGAGAGATGCTAAATTTTCTTCTGCTCAGGCATGTTCTATAGACATAAATTCTTCAGTGATTGAAAACCCTGACGAGTCAACTGTGGATGAGACCCTTCCATCACATGGGCATTCTTCAACTTCAATTCAAAAAACTCAGCCTTTGAGGTCTGAGTTGGCTGATTATTCAATGACTCCATTTGGGATGAGCCCAACTCAGTTAGGTCCTGAAGGGAAAAGGATCAACACATCCCTGGTAAGCTGCATTGCATTATCTTTTCTCTGTATAAAGAAGATTACTTTTTTTTCTGCTAAGCTGCATTCTTCTTGGTATAAAGAAGATCATTGGAAGGTAACTATCCCATAATCCAGTTTAGTATGATGCTCAAATGGGGAGCTCCCCACCTGTTCTTGATGGATGGTGGAGATTAACAAATGTGAGGCCTTCCATGATACAGTTAATCTCCACCGTAAGTCATCAGGATTGGATGGCAAGTTTCCTTTTTGAAAACCATGCACATATTCCATTGGATTATGATATATTTACTGACCATAGGGAAGAGGGACTAAAGGGTCCTGTAGGAAAAATGTATAGATCTGTTCTTTTTTCTCTTTTCCTTGTTTTGCAGAACTTGTTATGTTACACTTACATGGCCACAGTGGTTGCAGAAAGAAGCCTACAAAGATCCAGAGAGCATAAAGGAAACCAGGTCCCATCTGTGTTTTCAAGCAAATGTTGTTCAGAATGGTCCAGTTATAGGGCAGGCAAAGCCACCAATGTCAGGTGATATACTCAAACCAGTCAATTTTCCTTTGGGCTCATGCCAAGGTCCAGTAATGGATGAAGACAGTGGCCATGGCTCAAGACCGGACAGGAAGCGCCCCTTCCCAGAAGCTCCCTTTGAAGCTTCAAATGAGAACTCAGATTGTAAGAGACTGAGAACCAGTTACAGTGATTTGTATCCTGGAGACAAGATTGGTAACCCTGGTTTCTTGAATGTTGAGGAACCGAGACAAGAATACGACTACAATTATGGTGAAACAACAGAGAGGTTCTTCTTTCCAGTGGATCCAGGGCAGGTGAGGGAATGCAGCACAAGTGGTTCTAATTCATGGCCTTTATCAATGAGAGAAGATGAAGGCTTACCACCTGATTCAGATGCCCCGGACCTTGAACTCGCACTTGGGGCCGAGAAGAAACCATCAAATGAGGGGTTGTGGCCTCTCATTTCTCGAAGTCCAGAGAAGAAAATCGCTCCAGGTAAGGGTCCTTTAATGGCAGAAGGGGAGGAAGATATTGCATCTCTCTCCCTCTCTCTCTCATGCCCTTGCTCAGGTGAAGAGAAAACCACAAAGCCCAGTTCACAGACCCACCAGCTCTTGCCTGAGAGGCCACGGGTCAATACTTCCCTCTTACTTTTTGGTGGGTGCTCCGACACGTAGCCCGTTGAAAACCATATATTGGCCCTGTAAATTTTCGCCGTGTATGGGAAGGCTAATGCATTCAAAGGATCTTGAGAGATCCAATACGGGTTTTTTTACAGCCCATTTCATCTGTCTATATTCATAAAGAGACTCCCTGTGCCTTTGTTCCATGGCTGGTTAAGGGATCTCCAGGCAAGGGTTTGTTGGTTGAGTTTATACTTTCTTTTTTCTTTCTTTTTTAATCTTGAAGCTTGGTTTCGAGGGCTCCGGAGCCACGGCTTTTGTATATAAAGAGAAAAAAGAAGGCCGAAGACTTGGGCCATGCAGTCTCTCGAATGAAGTGCTCATTTAGTCATGGCGATTTCAGCGGTTTCTTTGTTCCTCCTCCTTCCCTCTCTTTCCCCTTTTATGTATAAAATACAGCATGAATGTGTACTGTTTGCCATCAGGATATAGTTGAGTCTATCAGGGATATGTGACAAGATGCAGAGCTTCATTAAGTAATGAGGATGTGAGCTTGGCTCAACTCTTGCCTGGTGTTTAACTGGTATGTGTCATGGCATCTCATGTCTAGTTGTATTTCATCTCTCTCTCTCGCTCCACTTGATCACCGGGATGTGTCATGGCATATTTCATCTCTCTCTCTCTCTCTCTCTCTCTCTCTCTCTCCAACGACTTGATCACTGGTATGTATCATGGCATCTCAGATTTACTTGTTTACCATGGGTCTCTCTCTCTCTCTCTCTCTCTCTCTCTCCACCCTTCCACCTGAGCTTTCATTGAAAATGAATTGTTCACCTTCAATCTACGATTCCTTTCAGGCGTTATATTGACAAGGTGCTTTGAAACTTAGCCCTTATCATTTGATTTCTTTAATACTTTTAGCAGGATGAGCTCAAGATTTCACACTCATTAATGCTCTTGTTTAGGTCATCCCCATCCCATTGCAACCCAAGCTTCATTTTTGTTTGAAACCAAGCTGCACAGCTTCCTTGAGGCAATAGTTTTTACCCATCTTAAAACTAAGAGCCTGTTCGGCTCCGTAGAGAAAAATTCCTTGAAAATTCAGAGGATAGAGTGAAATGAACGAGATTCATGGGGGTAGGGGCGTACCTTGAAAATTCAAAGGACAGAAAAATGATTGAGATTCCTGGGGGTAAGGGCGTACCTTGAAAATTCAGAGGACAGAGAGAAATGATTGAGATGCGCGGGGGTAAGGGCTTGGGTTTCGTAGGAGAAATGATGAAATGTTTTCAAAAAATAAAATTAACTTATTTCTAGATTCTTGAGATGTTTTGGCTAATTTTACCGTGCCTGTCTACCTAATCCAACTTATCCTATTTATTCATGCTTGATAGAGGTTTAGGGAAATTTTAAGGTCCTCTTCTACTAGATAGATTTATTTCTAATAAAGAAGATAGATCAACCTTTATGTAAAGATTGTAAGGTTATCTTATGAGAAAGTTTGACTATTTAAAAACTTGTGATTAGGACATTTGCATAAAGATATAAAAGAGAAGATGTGAAATTAGTAGGTATTCGAGAACTAGGTGGTGAGATTTAAAAAGGGAAATGACCTTGTGAGACCCTCCTATACCCATGTGTGTAGGATTTTAAAGAATCACCATTAAATTTAGTATAGATCTCAAAGAAAAGTCAAGTTTTACACCCATGTGATAATTTTTTTAGAGATCTATGTCAAATTTAGTGGTGATCTTTTGGGATCTTACACACATAGGTGTGAGAGGGTCTCATAGAATCTTACTCATTTAAAAAATGAGAAAATAAATTTATTTAGGGATAAATAATTAAAGAAGGAAAATGAAACGTTAACATAAGGTCAATATTGTATGAAATGACATGGCCGATTGTATTAAGAATATGGCAAAAGAAGTTTTAAAAAAATTTAGAAGGAACAAATTTTTTGATAAAGAAACTTGGTGGTAGAGAGATGAGGTTCAGAAGGCTATTCGCAAATTAGCAAAAAAGGATCATGTTATGATACTTGATCAAAACGTGGAATGGTATAAAAATGTTAAGAAAAACAAGAAAGGTTAAATTGAAGGTATATGATAATCTATACAGTAATTGGGAACAAGAAAAAGTGAAATACATGTTTTCAAATTAAAAAAAATGAGAGAATAAGTGTGGGGATTCAGACCCATATTAAATATATTAAGATTGAGGATCAAATGATATTGGTGAAAGATGAAGAGGTAATGAAAAGTTGAGAGTTTATTTTCAAAAATTATAAAATGATGAATAGAATAGGAACATAGCGGTAGAAGGAACTGTTGGCATAAATGAGGGCGGTGGTCATCGATGCCTTCGTAGGATTAGGATATCGGAAGTGAAAGAAGCTTTGAAGATGATGAAGATATGAAAGGCTTTAGGACTAGATGGTATTTTAATATAGATTTGGAAGTGCGTGGGAGAAATTGGTATTGATTGGCTGACTAAATTATTCAACAAGGTGTTGAAGAAAAAAAAATGTCAAACAAATAGAAGAAAAATATTCTAGTACATATTTGCAAGAATAAATGAGACATATGAAATTGCACGCATTAATCAAACTTATGATATCTTTATGATTTGTGCTCAACAAGCTTTTGTTAACTTTGATGTATACTTACTCCCTGAAACAAAATAGCTACTTGTTAGGGTTTCTTTGAAATGAAATTATCCACTTTAATATTACTCGATGAGTATTATAATAAAAAGTTGATTTTTGAGTTTTCAAAAATTTAGATTTTCAAAATTGGATAGTTACAGACATTGCCTGATATTGCTTTACAATTTTAGAACATTAAAAATTTCCCGGTTATTCTTTTTGCCCCATGTAGAGTGCATAAATCTTGTTTTGGCTTTTTCAAGGTTGATCTTTAGGTTGAGAAGGTCACATCCCTGCTATCTTAGTAATCCTTTTCAGGATTCTAATACTAATTTATAGTGCTTTATCTAAGGCTTGCAATGAACTGGATAGCCTGACCCAACATGGTCGGCCAAACCCCAAAAAACTCGGGCTTGGGCTACAAAGCGTAGCTCGAGGGCTGGGCCTGAAGGCTATGACAAGGCCAACCTTTGCTTGCTTTTTTTGTTTTTTTGTTTCCCTTTCTTTTGGTCTATTAAGCCTAATCCAGCCAAAGTGGGTCGGGGTCCCTTTGGCCCAGCTGGCTCAGGCTCGAGCCAGGCCTATTAGGATGAGTGCTAGGCTAGGTTTGCTTCTTTTGTTCCTCTCACGCTTTCTAGTTTTGTTCTTCTCTTTGTTGCTATTTTGGTCATCCTATTATTGGGTGTTTAAGCTCTGTATTCCTCTCTCTCCATGCCAATTGTTAGCCTGTAAATTGGGATAATCTGGTTTGAGAGTCAGGGAGATGTTCAAATTTTAATAAACAAAATGTACATGTCATCTGGAGGCAAGAGAATATACATTATCGACATGACCTTTGAGTTGCATTATCAATGATATTCTAAAATCACATCTATTTTTTGTTTTATGGTTAAATTTGGAGAAATTCAATATGCTTCTGATTTTATGAAAGTTAAAGTATTAAAAATAGTCTAGATTGAGCAGATCTATGAATACTTGATAATATTTAAAATTGACAGTCTAGAAAATACATTATATGTCTTATTTCCAATATTTGAAATCCATTTTTTTCTCATTTTCATATATCATGAGGTCGAGATGACCCAATTGAAGATTTTTAAGCATTGAAACCACTTCTTCTAATGAACTTATGAGGTGGGCCTTAATTTGACTGTTTAGGGCCTCACCATTATATAAACTTTTTCTGAAATAGAGAAGTATCATTGTAAGACAGAATTGAATTTGAATTCATGTAATTATGAGGTTTTGAATTTCTTAAGCTAATAAAATAGTGCAAAAGACTTAATCACTTAAACAAGGGTACGGTTTGTATAGAGCCGAGTCTCTAAACAATCAAATAAGAGCTAACTTTCAAATAGTGTCGAGAAATATGGCTTTAATGTAGAAAAGTTTTGTGATAGCCTTAAATTATATTTTTATCTTTAGTTATAAAATTTAAATCTTAAAAAATAGTGTAGATCGAAGAGATTGATGAAAACTTGAAAATCTTGAAAATTCACGGTAAAAAAATGCATAACAAAATGCACTATTTCCTAAACTTTAAATCCGTTTTTTTCTCATGTCCATGCATCTTGATGTCGAGATGATCAATTTGATGATATTTGGGCATCAAAACAGCCTCTTATAGTGAAAGTTTTGAGGTAGGCTCTAATTTGAATGTTTAGAGCCTAGGCTCTATATAAACTTTTCTCTTTAAACAATTGATTAAAAAAAAAGAAAATATATACAATAAGCTCATTTACTTTTTGGTGGAAGGCCATAATTACAGTTAAGAGTAAGATGTGAAATCAAGTGGTTGGGCATGTGCCATTGAGTAGGCACCAAGTACAAGGTAGATTACTTCAAATTTTTAAAAATATTTTAGCATAGATTGAATTTCAGATAAGAATATGACACAAGTAAATGGTCTTATGGTATTCAATCCCATAAGAAATTGTTTGTGTGCCTAATATGTGGCAGTCTACCTTAGAAACTCACAAGTCCCCTATATTGTCCAATAGTACTTATTTTGGGTTCTTTTCTTTGGTGCCCGTTGTATATCAGCATAAATGTAATATTTCATTTTATCGAATTTTAAGAAAAGAGAGTAACATGTACCCGGTTATGCTCTCTCTTTTCAAAAAATTTCCCTTGGATACATTGTGGGTCTCTATTATCATCATCTACTATTTATTTTTTGTATATGGAGGATACAATCACTCCCTAAATATCAAATTGGATGATGAAGTGAGTCAAAAAAATCCAAGATTTTTTTTTTGGAACTTTGTGCCTATTCAGTGACATTCTTACAACCACCCATTTTGAAATTTAAAAGACAAAAAAGATTGTGACATCGATGTACAAAAGATAAATCCTCTTTATAGACAAATCCCATATACATTAGTATTTCGTGAATATACTACCGAAAAAAAATGTGCCATCATCGCATTTGTTTTAGAGTCGGTTATAGTCGATATTTTCAAATGGGTTGGTATTGCGTCTACAACATGTGGACGCTTAAAAGGTGCAGATGATGATCATCCAAGGGCCAATAATGAATCTCATTTTTTTTTTTAATTTACAAGTAATATTAATATGAAATTTTGGTTTTAAGGTCATTTTTTTAAGATTGAATAAATTTAATAAAAATTTATCAAAATACCTTGTTATAAATATAACTAAATAATTATTCGTATTTAGTTATATTTATAAAAATATACCTATATACCAAAATTCATATATTTTATTTAAATAAAAATAGAAAATAAAATATGATACTAATTTTCGGCCATTGGATATGGCCATATGAGATCTCAACCATTGAAAGAGTGCTCGTGCCCCCTTCCACGCATCCACATAATGTGGACAGGATACTATTGTTGCCCGTTGCTAAGTAGACCTGACTAGTTTTTTTTCTTTTTCTCTTTCTTTTAACAAAATTACATAGGAATGAAACTTAGAGATGTAATGCTATGAAAGCCCAGTGACCCAACTAGTTGAACTATTTGAGTTGATCCCTGGCTAAAAAATTAAGCTCGATTCAAGATCAATTAAAATAAATATTTGATTGGTTTTGGTCTGATAAACCACCTAATTTTGATTAATATCTTCTTGTTTTTTTAACACTCCAAGGCAATTAGAAAATATATATAAGTCACAGATAACATGACATTGTATCCACTGTCTAAATTTGGGAAAGGTTTCTATATTTTCCCTACAGCATAGAAGATCTATGCTTCCCTTACCACCTAACCATCTAATTTTTATCAAGAGAGCCACTCATCGTTTGATCTTAGATCCAACGTCTCAAAGTATTTTATTCAAAGTTAATTCATGGACTAAGAACTGGGGAACCCCTATTTGAAACCCAAAATCGACACAATTTCCAATGATACCTAATCTAGATTGGCAATTTCCTATCCACATTAAGAAGAAATACTAGGAGATTCCGGGGACTGAGGTAATGCTTTTAGGACAAATGTTAATTGATTGTTCCAGTTCATATTTTTGAAATATTGGACCTTTTTTTCATTGATTTACTTATTTTTGAGCTATTTGTTTGATCCAAATTTTGAAATATACACTCTTTTCATTCTAACGAACAATCACAAAAAATAAAAAAAAATAGAAAACACAACCTAGAAAGTTTTTTTTTAGCCCAATTAACATAGGCTGTTCATTTTGGTAAGATGCTTAGATCTAGACCTTAAAATGATTTTTTCATTTCCAATTTGTTTGAATGGCTTTATTATCATTAGATAAACAAAGTTAAAAAAGTAAAAAATGACTTTGAATTTATAAAAGCTAAGATCTTGAAATTCACAAAATGAATAGTCAAGATTCGTTTTTGGAAGAGACTCATTTTGACAATATCTAGGTTCAAATTGAACATTTGTTTTTGGGGGATTGATTATTAAGATGAAGAGAATGTGTGTGTAAAATTTGAAGTCACACAAATACCACAAACATGGTTTTCTAGAAGTGTCGTTGCAGTATACTATGATACAACCGCTGCATTTAATCATTGCTCTATACTATATGCTCAAGAGAAAAAAAATCACTTTGTAACATCTGTGGTTCAAACGACCAATGTCATTTCCTTTACTTTCTTTTTATTTTACCGGATCGTCCATCCAACGGGATCAGTTGGAGAAGGGTTAACCCCACCAAAACATTGTTTTAACTTAATACTTTTGGGCACTTGCGAGATGGATTCAAAAGGCTTTTATCTTGTATCAACTCAACTTATATTGTTATCTATTTGTGTTTGACAATTTTTTATCTAATAATATTGGCAAAAAAAACTATGCTCTTCAGTTAGTCCATTAGCAAACTGCCTTAGATTGAGAACACATTTTAGAGTAAAAAAACATGCTAATTTTCAGTTTCCCAGTTTTCCATGTTTAACCATGAATTGAATCACAAGAGGATCCGAAAAGGTTTCAAATAGGGGTTCCTCGCTTCTCAGTCCAGTTACCTAGACTCCTAATTTCCCACTGAATTCCGCCTCCCCATTCCCAAATGTACTTCAATATTCGCATGCAGTCCATTAATGGAAGAACTTATGCCCATGACCATGTTTCCATCATGCCTTAGCAAAAATGATTCCAACTGAAAAAAAAAATGCCTGTTGAAATTAAAGCATGTACTATTTTTCTTTTCTTGCTACTTCTATTATTTCAGATCAATATTGTGGTCTTTTTCAACAATAGTTTCAGTCTTTTTCAACAATAGTTTCAAACTTTTGTCATGTAATGACCAGCCAAGATTAATGAATGTTTTCAGGTGCATACGAGACACAGCAAGCATATGACCTCAATTTTTATTAAGATTGTAAGACATGAAATGGCTCGTCCACTCTTTTGAATAAACTAAAAACAACACAAAAATCATAAGAACCAAAACTGTTGTTTTGTGACGAAACATGCATCTCGACACATAGCACATACCAATACAGAACTACACTCTGCAATTAAGTTGATCATTCATAAGAAATTCAAACATCTCAATACAACAGGGTAAGGACTGTATATGAAAAAGGAAAACATGGATCACCTTGTGCATAGAGTAAAGCTCCAAAACAGAGAGAGACCACGGAGAGTCAGCTACATAGCAGCTTCGACTTCTGAGTCAGCAGCAGCAACCATGTCCTCAATGGGTTCTTTGGGCACATTATTCCCACCCCTCAACTGGGAGGAGACATTATCAATGGCTGAATTCAGTTGTCTTAACTTTGCGTTCAGTGTTTGTCTTGTCTTCTGCTTTTCAATGCAAGAAAAGTAAAAACTTAAATCTCATTTTCGGTGCGTGCAAACAGTGGATCTTATTGTTTTACCTTGTCTCTCAACACAGGAAATCCATATCACCACAAGATAATGGGAATGTGTTAATACCAAAAAAAACAGGTAAAATCTTAAAATTAGAAACCAAAAAACCCAATTTCCAACAAAACAATAAATGTGACTATTTTATTGAAATCTCTCTCTCTCTCTCTCTCTCTCTCTCTCTCTCTCATGCGAGCTTGCGCACAAGCCCAAATGTCCAGCTAGAACAACAATTCTTCCAAATTTTGGTGAATGAACATGGTTTAGCATATGGCAAAGCATCCAGGCCCCCATGCTCACATGAACAAATAAAGAAAATGCAATCTTGCGCATGTACAAAGATGTAGGGGAACGGTTGGTATGCGTGAAAATACTTCTATGAAAGTATTTTCATGCAAATAAAGCTCCCTTATCTGACTAGGTGTGGGAGTTTTTCACACCAATTGGCAGTTATTTGATGTGAAAACTTCCACACCAAATCCGGAGTTTTTTCATGTGAAAATATGTTCACATAAATATTTTTATGCGTACCAAACGTGGCCTAAGTACATTATAAAACAGAGAACGTAAGTAATCAATTACCTCCAAGCCATCGTCATAATATATAGGTCTTCGGGCTTTCCTGAAGCCAGATTCATCCTCATTCAGTATGGATCTTCTGATCTATAGTAGGCAAGAGATTGAACGATTAGGTTCGTAGTAGTGGTTACACAAAGATGCAAGATACTTGAGAATTTCACAATGTCAAAGTTTAATGCATCCCAATAAATTTCCATAATCAGCCTATGAGAGATAGAGAGAGAGATCTAATGAGCCAGTATTCACTTCTGCATTCAGATAAGTAATTCAATATTGCATTAAATATCAAGATAAAATTCAATGATTAAGCCTCTGAGCATAAATTTACTTGTGCAAGAAAGTGCAGAAATGCCGTCATGACAACCTATGGTGTTGCCTCTATTTGTTCTAGTTCTAGCACACTTGTAGTGCAATTTGCTTCATCATAGAACCAGCAAAAATTAATAGTTCAAGAACACATGATATAATACATCAAATTAGCATAAATAAAATACACAGATGGAACAGGTTGATGAGCAAAGAAGAGTGTGGCAGACTCACCTGAGGAGCAAATATGTAGGCAAGTGTCCCAAACACTGCACCTCCTAGCAGAAAGCCAGCCACAAAGTCACCAGTGTTACCTCGGCCATCATCACTGCATACACATTGTGCAACATGAATAACAAACCACGGAGAGAGAGGGAGAGAGGAGTTAATTGTTACATAATTTGCTCTTAGTACCTAGGAATTCAATTACATTAAGTTTGTCATCCATGCGGAAGAAACGGAAACTAAATACAACAGATTGAGAACCTTTTAAAGACAAATGATAATTTAGGTTCAAACCCATCTTATGTACCAAAAAAGAGGTAGGGTAGCATCTACAGCTCCAGAAATGGAAAAAATAAAAGGATTTGTCAAATTGAGGAATTGTCTCCATTAGAAATGGTGATTTACAGAAAAGTTAATATGCCTCCTAAATGAATAAAAGAACCCACAAAAACAGATGAAAGAATGCCTTTTATAAATTAAGAGCTAATTCACCCTAATGCAAGTGGCACAATCCAAACTAACATGATTTTCACGTTTGTGATCAGGTGCAGAAATAAATTTTTTTTTCATTTTTCTTAGTCAGAAATCATCCGTTAAGCCAAGCAATAATATCACAGATAGATAGAGACCCAAAAAGCAATTGATGTACCAATTCTCCCATGGGAAAAAGATTGAGAAGCATCATAAAGAAGAATTTCAGTAACTACACATTGAAGATGGTAAATTTTAACTAAAAATGATCAAACCTCGAAGAAAAACAGTTCCCTTCCATTTTTCCTATTAATAGATAACACAATATCTAGTGTTTTTTTTTAGTATGTTAACTGTTAATACAATATCTAGTTAACGGTGGCTGGACCATGTCTTACTTGTATTCTGCACGGATTGTAAATTTCTGATTCGGCTTCATACAACGATTTGATCCTCTCGGGCGAGAAAGTCTCAGTGAATTGTTTTGTGGCAGGTTGAATTTTGTTGATCCATGGTCAAAAAGCTTAAAAGAAGACCCAACTAGCACAAACAATAAACATACATAGCTTAGTGAAATTGAACAAAACCAATGTGCCCAAAGAAACAAGTTAATAAACTTTGCAACATTATCCCATATGTAAGATTCCAAAAATATAAACAAATTACTAGAAGCCAAAGTAACTAGAGATATATGTGTGCATTTAATTTCTATATAAATCAAGCTTCTACAATGCATACATGAAAACCGAAAAGAAGTTTGCAAAAATGGGTTCTCTTTAACTACTGATATAATATCAAATTGCGAAGAAAATTTAATAAAAAAATATAGGCAAGCTGAAATTACTATAAACTTGAGATTCCGGAAATGTAACCAAGAAAATCATTATTTCCCTTCTAAATAGGATAAAGGCTTGAGATTCCCAATCCAAATCTGATATGCCACGAAGCACCCATCAACACATCCGTAAATCCATATCTACCTTCCTCTCTACCACCCCATACATTATATTTTGGTGTTCCATTCTCTTGGGTGGTTCTGCCTTCATTACTAATTTTTATTTTAGTCGCCGTTATTTCCATTCTATTTACCTTGCCGGGATTGTATACAATGAGAACATTTACATTTTCTACAAGGAGGTCACAATTACTTACAACCATCTAATGTGAAATCTGATAGCTTGGATATGTCATAAAGTTCAAGAAAATTTATTTTGAACTTTGAGCTTGGTCAATGAAATAAATTCAGCCACCCAATTTCACATCTAATGGTCAAGATTAATTGTGACCACCTTGTACCAAAGGTAAATGGTCTCATTATATACTTTCCCTTGCTGCAATTACTTTTCATTGGTTTACCTTTTAATAGATTGTTTCCTCTTCACAGTATTGACCTCACAAACATTCTTGAAACATGCATCCATCAACTAGTTTGTACAAATACCAACTGATTCCATAAATCAGAGAGAGAGAAGAAATACCCAGTGATTAAAAACACAAATAGGGGCTCAGACTCACAAGGGTCCCAAGCCCAAGTCAGCCGGTCCGGTTCGGTCGAGCCTCAGTGAAATGACACACTAGGGTCCAGGACCAAGCAAGACTCAGGAGAGTCCTGATATTTTTAAATCAGAACCGGCAAATTGACAGGCCTGAGCAACTGGAGTTTAAGCCAGAGTCACTGAGATCTAAATCGCCGGAAATAACATATCCATCATACTCAAACAACTTTTTTTCATTGCTAAAAAAAATTGTATCCATTATATCTAAATAAAAGTCAGAAATGAGCCTGATAAATGTCGACAACGTCAAATGACAGAAAAATGTAAATAGAATATGATAGAATAAATTAAGAACCAATAAAAATTTGATATAGGAAAGATGGAAATTTCATCCAAAATTAAAATCTACTCCATAAAAAATCAATCTGATCCATTTAGTGACAATATAAATACAATCACAGGAATCCCAATTCTTTGTTTTTTTTAGTCTTACAAAAATCCCAGTTCTCAAGTAAAATTGCTCTAAATATGTATCATAACATCTTTTTTGACGTATAATGATCACAGCAACTTAAAAGGGACTTAATCTACAACAAAAAATCGCATGAGATTGCAGTGAAGCAATAACTTTGAAATATTAAACGAAAAAGCTAAAATTTTCAGCAAATATCAACATTAATAATGTATTAAAACCTTATATTTCAGATTCTAGAGCGCGTAAGATATGTAAAACCGTATAGAAAGAGCAATCAATCGAAGCCCCAGAGATGTGATAGTGCTCTGAAACACCATAATCAACATTGATAACATGCATTAGAAACCTTAGAAAATATGGTACAGCTTTGAAACCCTAGAAAATTAGGCCAAACTTGTCATACCAGAGTATGGAAGAGCAAGAAAGCAAGTAGCCATGAAAGCAGGCAACGAGTTTCAGACGAGCACCGGCTGAGAAAACAAGAATAAAAAACGAGGCCATTAAATATACAGAGCATTAAAAACTAACCCTTAATTTAGTAATAAATATCTATTTTAATCCTCATTTTCTTTTCTTTTTTTTATTTTTTTATTTTTTCGGTGGCGGGTGTTGAGGATTATACAAGGTGCTCTTCCTGTACAACTAAGGCACTCCTTAAAATGTCTTTTCTTTTTTGACAATATTTTTTACTTTATTAAACAAATCTACTCAACAGAAATTACATCATAAGAAATGGCTAAAGCGGGCAATAAAGCCCCTCCTTTAACAAGAGAGCCAGTCAAGAAATTCATCTAATGATAAACATGGCGAAACGAAATTGAGAGTGGAGCCACCACATCCATAATTTGCGGTCACCTAGACATCAGTTTCCAAGGAGTACGCAACTCCTTCTTGACCATCTAATTACATTTAAAGAGTCTTACTCAATAATGCAGTTACTCTCAAGGTTTCTAGAGATAAAAATTTTAATTCATTTGAGCAAAGCCAATAAGTCCGATTGGTTAGCCGTGGCTAAACCAATATGGCCAATATATGAGAAGATGACATCTCCAAAACAGTCACGCCATACACCCCCAATGCCCGTCAAACTTGGATTACCCAAATAACTCTCGTCAAAATTTATCTTAAAACCCCCCACTCTCTAGTGCCACCCAAATACTCCTTGGTCTCATCTTGACTCTACCCATCAAAACAGATTTGGAAAATTCAACATAACATCTGGTTATGAAATCCTCCAACACCCCACTTTAGTAACCAAGAACCATGACCAAATAGACAATTTGATTTTACTGAGCAATCTATCAAAAGATAGACTCTCTCCCTCAAAAGTCTGCCTATTTTTTTCATTCCAAATTTCCCATAACATTGCCCCTCTCAATATTTTCCAAACCAAAATGCCCACGGAAGATAAATGATTAAAGGCTAACTATGACACTATACCCATCACGGAATGGGACAATGAAGCATGAACCCCAAGTAAACTAAATAACCAATACCAAATTCTAGAAGCAGCGTGGCCGTAGATGAATAGATGATCTTCGGTTTCCTCATCCGCTTTGCACATCAAACAAATATTAAGTAAAACATTACCCCTCTTAATCAAATTATCTATTGTCAAAGTTTTATTTTAGATAGCTAACCATAAAAATACCTCCACCTTATGAGGAACATGCCATTTTCACACTTTGGCTGTAGTAAGTAAAGACTATCTCCATCTATCGTGGAAGAATAGCCTATAACAAGACTTGACCTAGAAAACCCCATCACATTCAACTTCCCAAATCACTTCATCCATAGCCCCCTGGGAAATATAGACCAAATCCAATATACCCATCTGTAGACATGAGGGTACATCCCTAGTATGAGGGAACACCCAAGTGGACCATGTTTGACTTACAATATGAAGGGATGTGGGGAAAGGTTACACCTCTTCATGTGTGGGTTACACCTCTTCATGAGGGTACACCTATTTATGAGGTTACACTTCTTCACGAGAAGGTAATTTCTCTCATTATAAAAAGTGGAGGGGTGGAGGTTTACAAAAAGATTACAATACATACAAGAATGGTGTGAGAGCTCCTCTTGAGAGATAGAGAAAAGTGTGAGAGAGAGTACAATCCCCTGTCATTTGAGATCTAAGTAGAGATCCGACCCTGAGTGATAAATAGTTGTGCATGAGAGTCGAGTTTTGACTGCTCTTATCGCATCTGTTGGAGTGTGCGTGAGTTTCCACCTCGTTCGGGATTTGCGGTGTGGAATTGATTTCGACAACTCTAGTAGTTATCGAACGTGCCTACGTGAGTTGATCATTCCTCTCCACATTTGTTCACCAAAATTGTTGTGCGAGCACTTAGGTATGATACCTGATTTTTTGTTATTTTATTTTGCTTCCACTTCGATCGTTGGACCGTATGTTTCCAACATTAGTATCAGAGACATCGTGAAGCCAGGTTCTTGATTGTGCTCGCGTAACCATTCCCGCATTACTTATGAAGGCTTGGCTGTGGTTGGCCTATGATGTTGCAAAGTGCACATAATGATTATATTAAAACCATAGGCATGTGCATTTTGCAATCTTCATAGTCGTATTGGCTTTATGCATGGGTTATGCAAGTTGAGGATCATGGCTAAGTAATCTTGATAGGCCCCATATGTTAAGTCGTGCATGGTGGGCTTTACTCTTTTTTTTTTGTATGTCAAGGCCGCATAAAAATAGCATTGTTTTTTAGTGGGAGTGCATCTAGAAAGGTGTACCGCTTACAAATTGTGAGGTATTTGAGATACTAGATCCAAGAAAGAAACTTGGTATTGATTACAAGTAAGAGTTCAATGTGGCCATACGAAATTTTCATATCAAGACTTTCAAAGGTCAAGTTTTTTCAAGTAGCTAGACAATTCACAAGCGTAAAAATGATAATCTAAGTGCCATCATGTATCAAAAAAACCATGTGATATCCATATTAATTAGTGCAATTTTGTTGTTTTGATTTAATTAGTGCAATTTTGTGGATTTCACTAAAGGTGAAAAGTTGAATGGGAGCAATTTTCCTATGTGGCATAGGAAAATACAGTACCTTCTAAATGAATACTGTACACTTGAACACCTAACTACCATTAAGCAAAAACTGAACAAGGTGCCGCTGAAGAACTTATCCGTGAATATGAGGCATGGGATAATGTTGACCGTAACACTTGCTTTACTTTATTAAGTGCTATGGTTGATGACCTCATTCGTAAATTCGAGGGATTCACCACAGCAAAGGCCATGTGGGTTGCGCTTCAGCAGAACTATGTTGGCACTTCTGCTGCTCGGTTACAAGTCTTATCTATGGCTTTGAGACATACAAAATGCCTCCAAATGTGTCGATGGCGGACCATATCCGAAAAATGTCTCAAATGATACATGACCTAAAGGCAACTGGAAACAAACTCAGTCACGAGCAACATATGCTCAGATTGCTTAGGTCTCTTCCAGAATATTGGAAAATATAAAGTCATTGATGCTACATAATGAAGTTGTAACAACTTTTTCCCAACTTTCTCATCACCTTGAGATAAAGGCTGAGTTCCGCTCATCTTCTGGAGTTAAAACCGCTCTAATTGCCCAATCCAGCAGGCCTCGAGGCCGTAAACCTTGAGGTAAGTTTAGAAATGGGGCACCTCAAAGGAATGAGTAACCTAAGAAAGAGACTAAGGAAAAGAAAAAGGTCGGGCATAGACGCGGGAGACGTACAAAGGACAAATTTGAAATAGCTTGCTACAATTGCGAGAAGAAGGGCCACTATGCACGTGAATGTCCCAAACCTAGAAAGGTACGAACTAATTTCCTTGGCTATGCAAATATTTGCACTCAAGTGCTTGTTGCTCATTCACAATTTACTGGGTGGATTATAAATTCAGGAGCGACAAGGCATATAGCAAGGGATCGATAAGGGTTCGTTGAGCTCCAAACTTTACCGGTTGGAAGTCAGAAGATCTTCATGGGGAATTGTGCATCAAAGGATGTGCTAGGGGTTGGAACTTACCAACTCTAATTCCAAAGTAGACGGACCCTTTTGCTCCATGACGTCCTTTATGTTCTCGGAATGAGAAAAAGTTTGCTTTCAGTTCTATGTTTAGTTAGAGACGGTTGCTTAATCAGTTTCATGCTTAATTATGTTACCTTTACATTTCCATATGATTTTCACTGTTATGGCCAAATATTTAATGATTTATTTATTTTGGATAATAATGATATTAATTTTTCCCTTCCTTCTACCTATATGACATCATCATCATTTTCCACCTCTTCTATTACATACAACTCCATAATGTGGCATGTTAGGCTTGCTCATATGGGAAAAGATAGGATGATCAAGTTAGCCAAAGAAAGATTGTTGCCTTTATCCAAAATATATTTCCCTATCTATGAATCATGTATAGCTGGAAAATCAACTAGAAAGTCATTTATTAAAGCAAAAAGAGCAATCGGTCTTTTAAACATAATACATTTCTGACATTTGTGGTCCATTTAATGAGATGGCCTGTGACGGTTCCCGTTATTTTATTACATTTATCAATGATTATTCTCTCTATGAATATGTATACCTAATCTCGCATAAATCGTAAGCAATAGATTGCTTTAGTCGTTTTATGCTATAGGTTGAAAATCAGTTGAGCAGGAGAATTAAGGTTCTCCGTACTGATCGAGGGCAAGAATAATTATCTGATCAATTTAAAAAGCTTTGTGAAAATAAGGGAACCCGAAGACAAGAGATGATGTCCTAAACTCCGCAACAAAATGGTGCTACAGAAAGAAATAATCGTACTCTGTTGGATATGATGAGGTTTATGATGGCTCACGTTAACCTCCCAATATCATTTTGAGGAGATGCATTCCTCATTGTGATATGTCTTAAATAGAGTGTCATCAAAATCCGTTCCCAATACCCCTTATGAGTTATGAACAGGTAGAAAGCCAGATCTTTCTTATTTACATCCTTATGGGTCAGCTGCATATGTTAACATCCCTTCTCAATTGATAGAAAAACTAGATAGGTGATCTCTCGAATGCATTTTTATTAGATATTCTGAGCACTCAAAGGGATATATATTTTGTCAAGAACATGATGGTGGTGGGATGAACGTAATAGAATCTTGCGATGTAGATTTTATAAATACAAAATTCCCTAATAAGAAGCGGTCTCGTATGTCTAAAGAGCTCTATGAAGAGGCTGAATCTTATACTGACGTTGAGATAGTTCCTTCACTTAAAGATAATAGTGGGAGTCTTCCCATGATTGTCAATGATAGTGGGAGTGAGCCAATGATTGAGAGAGCATATGACCCATATTGAGTCACTGACCTTGCTAGAGACACTTATTGAGAGTGGATCGGGGGTTAAACTTCAAAAAAGTCAACATGGGAAAGTTCCTCGTAGACACTTCGAAGTAGAGGGTCTCACGTGCATTTCACTTGATGCTGATGAGCCTAGCTCATTCCAAGAGGCCTTGAATTCTCCTGTTGTGGAT